TGTTTCAGCCTAAAACTTATGATTGTCCGAGTGAAAAACATCTGAAGATGTCATGAAGTACGCACCTGAACATCTTGTTCGGGACTTGAGCGATATTTACCATCAACAAACAAGTTACCGTTATTCCAATCGACAGGAAGAATATTGCAGACTCGAAGTACATCCAAACATGAGTGAATAGCACTCTTTGCAGAATCGCAATCAACATTCAGATCAACAGTGGCGAAATTGGAACAACTAAGTAAAACTGAACGAAGGTTCGAGTAAGAGTATGTAGATGAAAACACTTGCGACAATAGTTGCACATCGAAACAGATCTTTTCGATGACATCTTTTATGTGTGAATTGTACTCATCAAATCTCATCTCTGAAGTATCTTTATAAATGATGAAGTGACGAGCCAATTCACAGACTATCAAATCAAATCGATGATTGAGACCATAGAAGGCTTGAACAATATGAGGTGAGCTCAGGTGAGCTATGATCATGAATAACAGTTCATTTGGCAATGATTCCAGACAACTATGCGTTAGAAATAGGATAAAACCAAGTGATAACGCTACGATGAATATAGAAATTACTTTTTTTACCTTCGAAAAGGGCGGAAACCAATCTGTTGTTCATCTTTAGAAGTATGCTGTTCGTCGACAGTTATCCCCTTGTTTCTTTCTGCAGGAGTGCGATGCTTGTTAGCTATGTCAGACTGTACAATCAGACCGCTGGTTTCGTACTTGTGTTGAAATTTTTTGTTAGCTGTTTTGTTCTCCTCTGTACCAGAGAAACAGATGAGATTGTATCTTATAACAGAATAGAAAGGAAGGGATACCTGATTTCGTTATCAACTCATCACTGAATTCCATCATTGTTTAGTTGTTGATTGAAGAGATTCTATCTGATCCTAAAAGCAACACTTCACATTCAGTCTCATTTGGTTCATAAGAGGGGTATGTGAGAGAGTGATAACTTGTTGTTGTAAATGAACTGGGGTGATGTCTTGATGAAATATCTCGTACAAAAAACGTTGAGCTAATGGATGGTGTAACATGCGAAAGATGTAAAGAAATGAGTGTGCACATGTCGACATGAGTGGTGAATATTTACTTACTGTGAAGTGTATGAGACTCTCGTTGTGTGCGTTCTTGTTCGCTGCAGCTATTTTTTTTCTTTCTTGAGTAATCATTCTGAAGAAAGAAAGTGAATACACATGAAACAATTCATGTAGAAGAAAAAGAACAGTTATAATGCAGAATAGACACGCACGTTGTCTGCAAAGAAAAATTGAAGCCAACAAAATATTTTATGAGATGAAATGCTCGATGATTCGATCAATATTCTCAGCAACATGTTCATGATAGCATTCTGAGATTGAAAACCTTCGATCGGATTGTGTTGAAAATGTTGCAATCTCATGTATTGTGATGATCAGACTTAGTTGAATTTTCATCGTCAGAATACGATTGAAACTCGATTCATGTCGGCGATTTTCAACGTATTCCGATCATCGGAAGCCGACAATATCCTCCAGTTAGTGAATTTCAATCGATAATTCCCTCTTCTATTTTGTGTTCGATTAATAATTTCAATTAGATAATGGCTAATTAATAAACGTAGGTGTAGGTGTAGGTGTCGGTGTAGGTTAGGTTCGAGACAATGACATAACCAAGAAGAAGGCAAATGGGCAATTGCCCATTCCATTTGAACATTTGTCCATTGTGATTTTTATTAATAAGTTTTTGCCTATTCAAATTTCACTTTCACAGAATCGTTTATTTATCTCTTAATTAGATAGTAACTTCATCTTGTTTCGTTCCGTCTGAATCACGCATGCACTCTTTGCTTGTTCTTTCTGTGAAGAATTAAGAAAAGACGAAGAAAAGAATCGCTTCTTGTATTTTAACTATAAGTTTAGGTGAACATGAGTTTGGCTATTTGGGAAAGCACTAACCATGTAAAGGTAGACAAGGATAGATAAAAGAGAAGAGAAACAAGAACATAGAGCAAGAAAACACACACGAACATATATATGTATAGATATATACAAAGAGAGTGACGCATACAAGAGAAGAGAAAAATCCAATGACGTTTATGTGAGAACATAAAGGAAAAACCCAAGATGTGAAATAATCTAGTTCTTAGGGAAAATGCCCATTTAAGATGCACAAACACATATTGGAAGAATACTCAAAATTAACTTATACAGGTTTTTCCTCTTGCTCATCCATATGTATGTTTACACTTCTATAATACGTTCGCCTACTATCTTCTCATTTTCGAATAGAGCTCACGATAATAACCTATATACTAAGCTATGTCTAATGCAAAGCTACCCATTATGGTATAAAACTACAATTTTTCGTTCAAAAGAATACGCACTGGCGCTGAAAATTTAAGGATGGGTGTAGATGCCGGCAGGCCCCGCAAACGTGGGGGATGTACACGCCCAATAATCGGAAATTATGTATTCGTAACCAAAAAACCTTTCTTTGAAATTTAGTACTAGAAACTTTTGAGGAATGTTTAAACTTTTCGCTTCGTGAAAACGTGACTACTAAGTGGACGTACTAGACTTATATTATCAGTGATGTTTCCTGTATTTAGCACAATTTTACTTTGGTCTTCCTTTTCAAGAGCTTCATTATCAAACAGTCGGCACTAGTGTGGCCTTCTTCGACGGCGAAATCTTTAAGAGCTATCGCAACACTTTTCTTCTTAAACAATATAAGAAAAAAAAGTTTTTCATAATTCGAAAAGATGTTTTCGCTCCGCGAAAAATAGCAATGGTGTAACTGCACTTAAGTTCAATAAACTTCCTACTTTAATCAATTTTTCCTTCAAAACAGCTTGATATAGAATAATTTTCAATAGAGTGATCGCCTTCGACAACGACATTACTGAGAGATTATTTCACATTAGGCTCGTGTTTGCTTCTTGAAAATTTACCAAGAAAAGTCGAATTCTCTAAGAAGCTTCCACAACATTGTCACTTCCCTAAAGATGGTTTCCTTTATGTCACCAGGGAAAAATTAACATCAGATGTGTTGTAAAAAGTTTGCATCCCTCAATCTAGACTGTCTCGAAACCTCCTCACACTTCCCCAATCCTGGAACTCTCGCACAGAGCCTGGATATGGGATGTGTGATTGTCTCCCTATCAACAACCACTCTCACACTCACACCCACACTCAAACTCATTCTATATTTCTGTTTGTTTTTTACGTTATCATTACTTTGTTGGGCGAAAACATTTTCGCCTATCAGTAACAACCATGCCCATTTTGCCCATTGTTTTTCTTCAACACAAGAGAGGTTTTCTCATTAGTCTAAAAATCCTGGTTACGCCGCTGGCTCGAGAGAATATAACCACAGCCACATCTACACCCACACCCTCATTATTCAACTTAAATGAATGAATAAAACAAAATAATTTATCTAATATTATCTTCGTTTTTACTCTATTACATAAATGAAGTTAAAAGAATATTTTAACTAAAAATTTTAATTGACTGCAGTATTCAATTGTAAATGACTAAAATTATAGTCGATGTGAATATAAAGTTGTTGATGTAATTTAGCTACCTTTTCTGTAATAAATGTTTCAATGATCTTGTACAACGATCATTTAGTCAAAATTTTTTTTTCTAATGTCCAATCAAAGTTTGTTTTTTCTTATCTTGATTCGCATTTTGTTACATCATTGGAATAAAAGCGTTCACTATGATAAGAAAGACATTTCATTATTAATCTTTTCTTTCTTTCATCAATAACAATAAAAAATGTTTTTATGTTAATCAAAATTATCTTAAGAGATGTTTTCGAAAATTGATTAAATAACAACTTATCATTTTGAATTTCATTTTTAATCATTCTGAATCGATATGGATTGAAAATTCTGAAATAATTAATGAAATTTAATCAAACATACAAGAGTATTTTATATTTTAATGTTAAATAACGATCAAAATCATTTTATTTCTTTTCTTTTTCAAACATTTTTGAAATTGTAAAATTGATTATTTTTATAGTATTATATTATCGTTGATCACATATTTGCAAAAGAATAATTCTTTTCCTGTTGAAACAATAATCAAGTTAGATGTTTTTTTTATTCGTATATTTCATATCGATCTTTGTGTTACAAAAATTGAATTTTTGGCGCTTTGGCACAATATTTAGTAAAGAATCGATCATTATGATTAAAAAATTCACAAGAAGACGCATAATGAAGAAAGAATTTTCAATGGATTTCGATATGAACTCTTTTTCTTAATCTTGATCAATTTTTTCCATTTTTCTGTTGCAAATCTCATAAATATTTGATTGATAATCAAATAAATCAAATGGTTGATCAAATCATAATGGGACTTAAAATTTAGTTTAATGATAATAAATTCTTTTGTTTTGCTTTTTTGTCTTCATTTTCTTGCAAAATATTTGACATGATATTTTTTTATTATGGTTTGTCACATCAAAAATAATAATTAAGAATAAAAAGTTTTTCTTTGATCAATTATTCTATTATTTTATCATGATGAGTTTCATTTCTTTCAAATCATTTTTAACTACATATTAAGAATTTAGAACTGTTCAATAAATTAAAGTTTAAATCAGCGTTGACATTTGTCCATTTTAAAAGGTAAATTTCGATAATTCTGAATTCTTTTAATAATGAACAGTAAATATTTTTATTCGATATCAAAATATTCAAATTAAAAAAAAATCTTTGATACCAAAATAACAAAAATGTGACTTTCTTTGATTTATTTTTTATGATTCGATTGATTATTCAAGATTATTATGAATAGCAATAAAAACAATGTTCATCTTCAACAATAATTTATTTCGATCAATGTTAAACTTTTGTATTCGATGATTTCTGTGATCACACACATAAAGATTACCTTCTCGATCACAAGACAAACTAATGGGGTCCGAAAGTCGATTCGATTGACTTTCTTGACAATTCTCACTAATGATAACATTCCCTTGGGTGATTTCTTGCGATCAACGCATAATTCGATCATTCCAAAAATCAGCCACATATAGAGTACTTGATTGATCGACGATAATTCCACAAGGATTTGATAATTGTGAAAGACTATTTCCTTGACCTTGACCACCAACTACAACAATACCTCGTTTCTCACCTTTCGTCCATTTCATTACACGATGGCTATTGTAATCTGATACATACACTAAATGACCTCGATCGACACATACTTATGTAGGACGAGACAACTGATTGAAAAGATTCTCTTATCTATTTTCACCTGCAACTACTGTTCCTTGATTTTCTCCTATTTGATATCGTCTAACTTCATGTTTATCATAATCAACAATATAGAGAAGTCCATCATCATCGATTGCTAATCCGTAACATCCGACATTTGACATGATTGTTTCTCCATTTGTACCATATTGACGACACCATCGAACCACTCTTTTATTATTGTAATTACAAACGATAAGACTATCTCTTTTGTTATCAATAATCACATCTGTTGGATAATTCAACTGATTAGAACAGTTTTATTTTCGATTCCCACCGGCAATAACTCGACTAGTTATTGCACCATATTTCCATTCCACAATATGATGATTAGAGCAGTCAGTAATGTAGATCGTTTGATCATCATCAAAACACAAACCTACAGGATCGTAGAGTTGATGTATTGCATTGCCCTGGGGTGTGGGTGGATGTGGGTGTGCGTGTGGGATGTGAAGAAAAGAAACACCCACACGCCAACACTCACACCCGTATTCACACCTTCTTTCATGTGGGTGTGGGTGTAGACATGGATTTTGCTGCAGAGAAGATTGACAGTGATACACTTACACTCACACCCACATCCTGTGTGAGCGTGGTGGTAAGCGCATATGAATGTGGATGCACAGAAAAACTATACGTCACATATAATCTTTCATTTCTCTATATAATAAAAAGTTGAATAGGAAATAGGTTTTGACAGAGTTACAAGACTTGCTGTCTATGTCAAAGTCCTTTTTTCGTCATTTAGTCAATAGAATAGTGTATGAATTCAAGATTGAACATGAGATCTTCACTCACTCGTCCTCATTCTTTTTATATTTATCTGGGATCTTTGAGAGTCGTACAATTAGAAAGCCCATTCATTCGAATTTGTGACCTACTGAAAAGAGTTTATCGATATGAAAATGAATTTATTTCTAATCAAATATGCTGGTAATAACATTAGATTAGCTTTTTATGAATTCAATAGGTTATGCTAAATAATTGCTGAATACTGAATGTTGAGATAAATAAAAAAAATTCTTTTTTTTTTACATACAAAAAGCCCAAATATCTGATAGTTATACACAATATAGAATCGATTCAGTTTTATCAAGATTTTATTGAAGAAAAAAAAATACGCCATATTGCCATTTGACAATATTATATGTTATATCAAGCAATAAGTACATTGAATTGATGAAAAAAAAGCGAAGATTTCAATTCTTTAAAAATACAGAAGCTCTGTGAAAAAGTTGTAAATGAATATGAGTTTTGTTTACAAATGAAATAATAATTTAGTCCAACTTGGCCAATATACCAATGCTGATAGTATTTTCAGGATTTAATTTAATGTTCACTGCTGCTCCCGGATACAAACTTTTTAGGATCGAATAAATATACAATGGCCAACGTCGAATCCAACTTCGCCATCCAACAGTTGATACTTTGATTGTTTCATTTGGAACAAAAAATGTAACTTGTAACTCATTATTTGGTATCGGTACATTATGTTGAGCATGAGCGAGTAATAAAATTTCGTAGGGTTTTATTCGACATTCAGTATAGCCGTATAATGCTGTAATATGATAAATATTATCACCATAGATTTTCACCGTAAGACGTTCATTGTCTCTGATTACGGCTCGTTTTGTATGCTCAATTTTAAGAAATATAATCACTTGAGGTATGGAGTGCATATACGACAGAAAACTTTCAAATACATGAGGCGTATGTTTCTTCGACATTGTTAGAAAACAAGCAACGCCTGGTGTCACTACAGCCGGAATGACATCATTGGTATTCATGTTATTTAACTCGAAGTTGAAAGATGTAGTGGATGGTGATGCTACTGGTATGTTTTGTATTAATTGTATACGACTTTGAACTCTGGGTAGAGTTCCGGCGTCATTCGCTTCAAAATCAACATCTGAATCTGAATCCGAGAATGACATATTGTCCCAGTGAGTTTCTTTAGCCGTTGCAATAATAGGAATATCAGTTAGAGAAACTCCGGAGTTTTGTTGCGAGCGTCGCGCCAATAGGCCAAGTCTTATTACTAGGATGTTAAGGTTGGTTGTCTGCGCATGAATCTTCAGAAAACGACGCAATTGCAATTGACCAAAAAACCAGCAAAAACCAAGAATGAAAAATACAGATCCAATCAGAATAGCCACCCATCCTCCAGAAGGAATCTTGATCGCATTTGCTGACCATGTGTAAAGGTCAATAATGAGAAATATACTGAATGGTGCAACAATATACCATGGTTTGTGCCACGTATAGCGAAGAAGAAGCATGTATAAGATAGTTGTGATGACCATTACGCTACAAACAGTTACTCCATAAGCATTGGTAATATTAGCACCCGTTTGAAATCCAGCAACGACAGCAATAGTGAGGAACATTAATATGTAGTTTATGGTAGGAACATAGATTTGACCAACAATCGTTTTTGATGTATGCCATATTTGAAATGGTACCGAACATTCCATACCAATCGCTTGACTGATCAACGAAAAACTGCCAGTGATTATAGCTTGTGATGCAATTATTGTCGCTATAGACGCGAGAACAATCATGGGCCAATGTCCCCAACGTGGAACAGAATGATAAAATGGGTTGCTGATCAAAGTCGGGTCAACGATTAATAATGCGCCTTGTCCCAAATAGTTGAATAATACGGCAGGAAAAACAATAAAGAACCACGAACAACGAATTGGCCACCGTCCAAAATGACCTAAATCAGCATATAATGCTTCAAGGCCGGTAACAGAGAGAAAGACGCCACCGATTTGATAGAAACCTCTTTTCTTTTCGGTTATAAGATAATGCAATGCTTCCCATGGATTAAATGCTTTGAAAATGCTTGGTTTATAAGTTATTCGCCAAATACCGATTGCAAATAAAGAACTAAACCACAAGCACATGATCGGTCCAAAAGTAACACCAATTTTCGATGTTCCCCATCTTTGAGCAATGAAAAGAAAAACTAAAATGATTATTGTTATCGGTACAATCCACTTTTGCAACTTTGGAGCTTCGACAGCCACTCCCTCGACAGCTGATAACACTGATACAGCTGGTGTTAATGCACCATCACCAAGTAAGAGAGATCCAGCCAGCAGCGATACAATGATTATCATTTTTTTACTTCGTGGACCCAAAAAACTTTTTTCACTTGTCAATAACCCACATAGAGCAAATGTTCCTCCTTCACCAAAGTTATCAGCCATAAGTATAAAAATACCATATTTGATTGATACAGCAATAATTAAACTCCAAATAATCAAGCTTACTGCTCCGATGCATTGTGCTTCGTTTGGTTGAAAATCGAATATCGTACTAAGAACATATAATGGTGATGTACCTATATCACCAAAAATAACACCTAATGAACGAAGTGTCAGATTGAAAAATAATGATGGGTTCTTGAATGGTGTAATGTCGACAGTTATCGGATGCTCATCTCTCAACAGTGTAGACTGTCTGGCTTGTTGACCGTGGTGTATGGGTCGTATTGAAGTTAATACATGTTCATTGGTGTGATCGGGGCCTGTGGCATTCTTTGTCACAGAATTGTCTTCTGTCTTGTTGTCATACTGAGCCATATTGTCGGCTGTAATGCAAGAGAGTGAAAAAAATACCGAAAAAGTCGAAATGCAACTTTTTAAACTCAATGGTAGCTGCATATCATAATTTCAAAATCGTCATTGGAACTGGCAATCTTAGTAAGATTTTATAGCACAAGTGATTTCTGTTGGCTAATAATGACTGGCTTGTGAAGGCGCTCTGTTTAAGAAATCGAATCTTCACAAGTTTCGTCATGTATCCGTATGTTTCAACACTTGTAAAAAAACTAATGATTAAATCGAACGATGCAGAATCCTTATTGATCAGTAATTTTTGACATCTTCATTCACAATTAAAGACTCAGGGTAGGCAACTGACTAAATGTTATTCTAGTTTAACAATCTTTCAAGAATAGTAGAAAGATAAACTGAAATGATTGAAAAGCAGATTGTTTGAGAGTATTCTAACAAGAATCATTTTTTTATATCTTCATTTTCTTCTTCGTCGTCCTTGTGTGAATATGTACGTCTTTTTTTCTTCTAATGCATACCTACTCTGTACATATTCAGCTCAATCGTTTTTTTTCGCGTTCTCTGTCTGATGCACGTGGACGTGTGTTGAGTGATGCATAAAATAGATGAAGGTTTGTCAATAAATCAGTTGTTTTGGTTATTGGAAAAAAACAAATTTTCTTGTGTTCTTGAAGCTTTTGCTATAGAAAGAAGTCTTTGTAGCACAGACATTAATTATTCGTGAGGAAATCATAAACAGATCACACAAGATAATATTTTATTCAAGAATGCCTATTATTTACCACCAATCTTCGTTTCCTAATCATATCCACATTAATAGATAATAAAAAATTAAGTTCAATTGTGTACAAATCGTAATCTAATGTTATCCTAATACAATATGTAGGGTATAATTATTTAAAACAAAAATCCATAAATGAAAATCCCGACTTAGTCACCCGAATTCGACTTAATTTTTTGAATTATCTATAAATATAGAGCTGATAAACGGAACCATGACTTGCAGTAAATGATAACCAATTTATTAAATCAGTAAAGCTCGGGTTCAAGCATCATCTTACCTGCATTCATCATTAGTGAGATATTTCTGTTATGATTATAATAGTTAGAATATGTTTTGCTCAATCTAATTTATCGCAATTATATATCATCAACGAAAAACGATTGATGACACATTTGTGATGCGTATATTATACTGCGCATAGAAAAAGAAAAAGAAAAAGAAATTTTCTTTGTCTCTTGTTTTTTTTTACTTGCAACGTGCGTATGCATCGATACAATTATTGGGCGTGGCTTTCATTATAATTATTAACGTTATTTTACATTGATGGCTCGCTTTTCTGTTCTGTATGATCAGTATTTTATAGCTGTTGAACTTTGATCGCAATTCTCTATTTTTTTACTCTTGCGTAGAAGATAGACATGAGTATTTTTGCACTCATATTCAATATTTGCATTTGATTTAAACACTGTTAATGAAAGACGACATTCAAAAAAAAATATTAGGTGCTATATGGCAAAAATATCAATTTTGTTCGAACAAAGAAAATTTATAAGATGAAATCGTTGATTCACACATAAAAATACAGTTTATTGACTTGAATAATTATGAAAATACCGAAAAATGATTAGTATAATTCACTTTTCAGTGTATACATCTTAATAGCTATTGTGTACTGGAAAGATGATTAAGTTATAGTTCAGATTTTGACAGATTTTCCCAGTGAGTCACTATGATCTTCTATTTGACTAAATTAGATTATTTTTGATACTATTTTCTGAATCTTTATTGTCATCCTTCAATTTTTTGTCTATTATATTAAATGAAAGACAATCGAAAATTTGTCGGAAGCTATGATAATAGAACATGATTATGAAAAGTAAGCACATCGTTGATTATAACTGACTCGAAGCACACAGCAAGAATACGTCTATCATTTTAGAAAACTATCACGAGAAAAAAACAACCATCTATGTGGAGTTAATAAACGTAAGCGAGGTTGTTATGAAGAGGGATGAATCAGCATTGTTTTTCACTCAGTAAAACATAATAACCAAAAATTATTTTTCTAAGTTGCTCTACTAGTTTGAACTCGAAGAGAAGCTGTTTCTTGTTCGTTCACTGTTAAACTTTATTATTTTCTTTTTAAAATGATTGCACTGAGCCAATGTTGTCTAATTTTGTCAAGAATAAGTGTAGCAAAAATGACTTGACTGAAAACGTTTATTTAAATCCTTCCAGGTGAGTGCACTACATTTCACATGTTTCACGAGCTTAAACTGTTTGGTCACTTTTTCAGTTAGATCAATATTGAAGCACTATCAAGACTTAAGGATTGTGAGGCAAGTAGATTTGATTAACAGTGAGGATGAAAACCGTGTTGAGACAATAACGATGTATTTCATGTACCCGTTTTCTTGCATACTTAGATGAAAGAAGCGGGATAGGACACTGGAGTTGAAAAACAACTCAATCTGAGTGTTGTGAAAAACTGAAGCAACGATGAGACGATCTCATTGCATAATCAATTTGTATAAGCTTTGAACTTTTTGCTCTTTATATATTTTTTTAGGTACACGTGAATGTCGATGTCGAGGTGAGTGTAAGTGGTTGAATTGAAGATAGACACTCATACATTCACAAACCTCTGATTTTAATAGATATTTTTAAAATTTTTAGTTACTACAAAGTGTGTCGCACAATAAGATATTTGATGGATTATTTATATTCCATTGGACAAAGCCATTTGCAATAGTAAAAAACGGAACTGATTAAAGTTGTTTCAATTATTGATCGATTATTTTTACTACTTCATATGAAAACATAATTAAACGGAATAGAAAAACGCAATACATTGAAACTTTCTATATTTCTGAACGATTGTTCATATTATTTATACATATATATATCTAGCAATTCATTTGAATAAAAGAAAAATCCAATAGATAAATAGATAGTCATGAATTCATATCAATTTGAGATCCGATTGTTTATATTTCCAATTGAAAAATCAATTTTAACTAGGAAAAACAAACATCGATTAATTTAAGTTCGATCCATGATGTATTATTGATATTGTATGAGGAATATAACGTCCAGTTGACTAAACAAAATAGATGTGGATAGAAATCATGTTGATTTTTCATCAAGTATTGAGATGTTATATGACAAAAAAAAGCCGATTTCAATTATTGGAGAAACGTTGATCGAGCATCAGTGATATTCTGCTTACTAAACTTATTTTATATTATACAAAAACTAATGAGAAACATAATTAACGGATTTAGAAACTGTTTTCTGATATATTACATTTATTCTTTATGATATTCTTTTCCCATTTTTTATGGATTTCAAATTTTTCGAGTTCTTCCATTCGAAAAATCGCGTAGAAATTTTCTCAATATCTTCATAATTCTACAAAAAATAGATTACTTTTAACGTAAAAGAAATGAGAGGCAAGACAACAGAAAAAAAGTTGATTTCATTGGAAAAAAACAAATGATTCGTACAACAAACTAGCACAAATTGAAACGTTCAATGCATTTCTGTGTCATTGACATATTGAACATCATGTTACAGAATGACTTCATTGGGGCGCAGATGGTGAAAATTCATATGAAATTTATGCAAGATGTATTGGTTTGTTCATGCACAACGTACAAAAATTTATCGTTTGGGACTGATTATCATTGATGTAATCACTGTATCAACAAAATGCACGAGATGAACAAGAGAATATCTGTGTACAGTAAATCTCTTCACTTGTTATCGTAATAACCTTCTCATTCACTCAACGAAACCAACACATCATTGTATTTTTAATCAAATATTTACGAAGAACAATATGTAAGCGGTAAAGACAATATCTGTTTTCAAATACTATGGTCCAATAGTAATATTGAATTCGCGATAAATCAAAGAACAACAAAGCAAATAGAGATTAAGATAAAAAGAAATGAGAATAAGGAATGTGTAGGATGCTTTGTATCTTAGATCGATTTTCGTCAATCATTCGAATAAAAATAAATCTATACTAAAAAATACTTCGTATTTCACTTGTTATTTCTGTTTCTCGCTTGTTTTCCAATAACATCTGTCGTATCTCTACCACCACTAGAAAACCAACATACCGGCAAAAATCTTGAAAAACAATCTGAGCCAACCTTGCAAACATAAACGTACCAAGTTGCTCCGGGTATTACATATGAATATATTTATGTCGAAGCATATGATGATTGCGGTGTTAAAAAACCGACCTTTTTATTTCTTCACGGTTTTCCGTCATCTCTCCATTGTTAGGGTCATCAAGTTGAGTACTTTTCACAACAAGGATACGGATGTTTGGCAGCAAATACAATGGGATATGGCAAATCGTATTCTCCAATGAACAAAACTGAATATAAGGCCAAATCAATGGTAGATCATTTTATGACTCTTCTTAATCACTTGAATTTAGATAAATTTTTTATCGTTGGACATGATTGTGGTATGAAACCTGCAAGTCGTATAGCTCTGTATGAACCTGAACGAACATTGGGTCTTGTCCTTCTTAGTGCTGCTTACATGCCACCAAGCATATTTGATCTTGATCAAGCAATAGCGAATTCAGCAGCATATTGTGGATATGATGCGTTAGGTTATTGGAAATTCTTTGATTCGGATGATGCTTCCACAATTATTGAATACAGTTTAGAAAGTTTCATTGATCTTGTCTATGCCAGCAATACAACACTTTTCAAGACAGAATTTTCTCCCACTGGAAAGATGCGACAATGATTAATCAATAAGTATAGAACTGATCGAGCTTTTTATATGACAGATAGTGATTATAATATCGTGCGTCAATATCTTACGAAAGCAATGCAACCAAAATTGAATTGGTACAGATCAACTATTGCTAATGTTGATTGGGAAGACGAAAGAAATATCGATCCAACTATTCGACGTTCAATTCTCTTTATGAGAGGAAAGCAGATCGATATCTGTCGTGAAACATCTCTTGCAAAACAAAATTCATTTACGCCCGATATTGAAATAATTGATTTCGATACTGGCCATTGGTTAATGGAAGAGCAGCCTGAAGCAATTAATCAAGCCATCGAAGAATGGATTAAAAAAATTCTATAAATCAGTTTTTCGACATCGAGTTTCTTTTGTTCTTTACGCACCGCTTATATGCTTATCGTTACTCTAGCAAAGAGCCTAATGCTTTTGAGAAAAATCTAGCGCTATGTTTCATTCTTTGAAAATGAATTGTGTTGTACGTTGTGTACATATTTCTGCCAAGAAAATAACAAAGTGAATCGTTATGTCAAGTGAACAATGATAAAATAAAATAGAGATATGTTAGATCCATAGTATCGATTTGAATTTGTGTTCTATTCTTTGATTGTTTACTAAATTAGAAGTAGCGACACCAAAGTTAATGAGTATTTCAATTTAACCTGAACCAGTTATGAGCCAATTTATTGATTTTTTGCAATAATTTATAAGAACGAATGCTCTTCTACAAAACTCAATAGCCAATTAAGTAGTAGTAATGAAAAACAAGCACTTTAAGTTAGAAAACGTTTTCGATGCATCGAAGACACACAAGGATTTTTGAAAATCTATTGAAACACTCTAAGTGCGGTTTCTGTTTGAACGTTTTCACGTCCATTCATAAAACGACAAAATCAACTACTTTGATCATAAAAGTTGCCTTTTTAAGCACTTTTTATATTATGAAAGTAGCCAGTTTGAGTTTTTTCTTAGCGAACGGGAAAATTAACGGTAATCAGGATTAGAGCGTTTTCAGAACTTCTTGCCTGCTTGGATAATTGAGTTTTGCGGTATAATATCATGTTTCTGTAGATGTCTCTATTCTTTAAATGTCAATTAAAAAAACGGACATCTATACGCAGCTGGTTGGGAGTAGCATCTGTATGGTGGTTTCAATGATCTTGATGGATGAATCAATTTCTCTATTGGTTTGTAATAGAGTATGTGTTGAAATGTGACTCGCATTCAACGAAATATGACGCAGAGATGTGTTTTCAGTGAATTGAAACACCAAAAATAAACTGAGAAAAAAGGCAAAACACAGCGGCTAAATATCATTGTAGTGGCAATAGAGTTATTGTCAAACAAAAAATGACGACAAGTTATTTACCAAATATTCTTCGAAGAAAGACACTGGAAACGAAGTGTGAAATTGTGTAATAGAAAATTTTCACTTTCTTGAATTTATATTCCACTGATAATATCGACACATTTTTAATAAGTGAGAGTTAACATAGAAAAACTCGATATTTTTTTTGCAGCAATGACAGGTGGACTTGTTTGAATTCTATTCGTCAGAAATAATCATAGTAATACTCGGCAAAGTTTTTTTTTTATTCTTGACTCAATCTATTCTATGTTGCTTTTTTTGTGTGTGCGTATGTAAACCGTTACTTATCGTTATAACTTATTCTAGTTGCTTTTTGCGTTCTTCACACACAAACATTATTTTATTCAGATAAAACGTAGAGTATAAATAAATATTAGACATTTTTTTGTTGTTATAGCTAGAATGAATCCACGTGAGCATCAACAACCATCTGCTCCTCCACCGCCTTACTATTCCATTGTCAATGATAATCGACAGGAATATCGTTCGGACAACTCGTCAAATCAAAATTATGCTCAATCACAACAAGAGCGCATACCTAAATTTGATGAATTTATCAATCGCTATGAAAGTAAGAATTTCTTCCAGTACACTTCGAATCATTGATATATAAATTTATTTAGTTAATCCAAGTTTTGCTGAAAAATTATATGGACTGAGAGGGTGTGAGATTGTTTTTATTTGTGATGATTCAGGTTCGATGAGCGCACCAGTCGGTATGTCATTATAATGTCTTTGTTTTTTTTTGGGTTTCTCATCAATGTACTATTTCCTTGGTTTTTCAGGAGAAGTTACTAATCCACGTGAAAAACAAAGAACACGATGTAAGATTTTATTTAGTACGATAATGATATTTTAATATTACTCTTATTGCCATTTCTAGGGGATGAATTAAAACAAACAGTATCGATTGTTGTTGATTTGGCTAGTGTTCTTGATCCAGATGGTGTTGACGTCTATTTTCTTAATCGTGAGCCTATGTTACATGTGCGCAGCGGGTCCGAATTAGAAAATATCTTTGCTATGGAGCCAGAAGGTAGATAAGAAATTCAGGTCTTTTTCAATGACTGTTATTTGAATTCTTTATTTTTTTTATGTTCAACGCCGATTGTACCCGTTCTTCGGCAAGTACTTAAAGACAAGCGTAATCATATTTATGAACGCAAGTTGCTCATTCTCATAGCAACTGATGGTATACCAACAGACGACCGAGAACGTACAGATATTCATACACTTGAACACGTTCTCAAAAATGAACGTACACCTACTAATCAAATTCCAGTTACAATCATTGCATGTACAGGTAAATTGAAAGCATCAAAGCAATCTTTTATGATTTTCTTTATTGTGTTACATCTTTTCGTTTATTTTGAAACATATTGACGGATAACTTATTATTCATTTTAGATGATCAAGAATGTATAGGATATTTGAATAATTGGGATAAAAAGATTCCAAACCTTGATGTTGTCGACGACTATCGAACGGAAAGAAACGAAGTTCAAGCCTATCGTGGCAAACATTTTCCATTCAGCTTTGGTGATGTAAATCATATCGATTGTTTGATTATTATTTTCTATCTCTTTTGTTTATAGTACATAGTTAAAATTCTAATGGGAAGTATAGACAGTTGGTTTGATAATTGGGATGAAAAACAATAAGAACAGATTATTATAGATGAACTGATAGAGCAGTATATGGTTCAATATGGTAATGACAGTTCGAAATATTCATATTCTTAAAAGACTTTCGAATAGTAATCTCGAATTATTTTGATTTTGAACAGAACTTATTTGCATACTCTCGATAGCCTTTAATATTATCGCGTAAAATATCTTGCTTGAATATGTTTTGTTTTTTCTACAGAAATAAAGTAAACTTGTTGAATTGATGCACTATGATATTAATAATAGAACAGAAACTGTCCAGCGTGAGATTGTTGGTGTCGATAACAAAGAAAAGAAGATCCACACATTCTACATATATTATTGTTTTTTTTTTTTAAATAGAAGTACTCATATTCATTACATATAACAGATTAAAACAGTTTTTCAATGCCTAGTATGAATATTTAGATAGAAAATGAAAAGTTTCATTGATCTGTATCAAGTTTGAGTATTCAACAATTTAGATTTCAAAAAATGCTATGTATTTTAGGCAACCATAATTTCATCTACAAATTCATTGTATGATTTATTTTACACATGGAAATATTCTGTTATACCCATCAAAAAAAAAATTTATAAAAGTTGGCGTTCAAACGCCAACTTTTAGTAAGAAAACGCATTTCTCACCCCAACGAACGCTATCAAAAACATCATTAGAACGCGTTTAATATCATGCATTCTAATGAGTTTTTTGTATGTATTTAAATATGTTTTTCAAGTAAAAAACGAAATCTTCTTAAACAAACGTGCTAAAACGCGTTTCTTTTGATGTTTTTTCTTGAAAAGTTCGTTTTTTATAAACGCGTTGAAACGCTATCTTCTTAATGCGTTTTTCCTAGAGAAAACGGATATTCTTGAGATGCGTTGAAACGATTGATTGAATTTACGTCATTTGAGTAAGAGCTTGGTTTTATAGAATAAGAATCTAGTCCAAGTAGAACAAATATCAAATGAAACCAAATGCAAACGTGTTAGAGTCAGATATTACTGTTCATTAGATCAACTGGTTTATATATAATAAAAGAGAATATATTCGAATTATATTCAATGAGCAGATATATTTTTTTTTTAAATAATAACTGTAGACTAACAAAAGCATATTCTTTAACTAGACTCAGTCAATATTGGATAACGAATAAAGATAAGTTGATTTTCAAATTGATAGTAAGATACTTTTTTCAATAACATTGTTTGTATTAATATGGATATGATGATCAAAACTGATTATTCTATTTTCAATATTATCGCACAGGTACGAAAGACCATATACAATATTCCGGTCATAATCCTGATAGACTTTGTTACAAAACGGTTTTATATATATATATTACTGAATCCCTCTACATCTTAAACAAGATAGCTTCTACTTCAGTATAAAAGATTAACTCGACTCTCTTCGTATGACAGTGATTAAATTGAGAAAGAATAAAGTGATAGTGCCTATATGCCCATTACCATTTCGGTCTACTTTAATACAATACAATCGTTTCTTTTTCTTTTCAAGAGTCTTCTCGTAGAGTCCGTCGATGAATGTTGGATGCAGCGTTTTTAATAGGATTTCGAAGAACAGTGTACGCATACACTTTGCTAAGCCAAAAATTTTATTTTCAGAGTGTACTTCATAGGAAAACAAAGTGTATTCTAAAAAAACAGAGTGTACGTACACTTTGCTCTGCTGGTGTACACTAATCATTAAAAACACTGATTCGCACTACTCTATTTGCATTTCTCGATAACTTAACTCTCTAGATTTTCGAAATTTTTCCTACACTATTGTCGCTATGGTGCAAGTCTAAATACTTAACTTACTCTAATATATCTCGTCCTATTTAGTTTTATAATGAAATCTTGCGTGAAGTTATTGTAGGTGTTGATAATGCAGGATTCATTTCTTACTTGTGGTTAGTATTTTTTTTGACAAAAGAAGGTATTCGAGCATGTAGGGTATTTCGACTTCTTGCACTATGACAGCGATACTTCTTTGGAAAAATCTCATAAATCTGGAGAATGCAGTTATTGAGAAATGTTAAGTAGAGTGATGTGAATGAATGAAATACATATTTAAGGTAAAATATGTTAAACAACTGATGCTGAGAAGAAGGAAAGAAAATTACAATTTAAACGCGTTAATATCGAAAGGAGTAGTGTTTTACATGGATAAACGTGCCGTAGTGAACGCGTTGGAACGCAAACTTAAAAAATTTTTTTTTTCGTGAGTATATTCTGCTTCGTAACATAGAGAATATTCAATTTCATAGGTTTTGAGTCGCGACGAAAATACAGTCATGAAATGATCCTGTGTTCAATGAAAAATGTTCATTCTACAAACATTATGCATATCTTTTTCTCATGTAAAACTGTTTATTCTGTATAAAGTTTGACTAATTATTTAAATATAACATCTGGTTCTCATATATGACCTACTTCCTTAGTGTCTTTCTGGAGGATTCAGTAAAAAGATAATAAATAAAAATACGTCTCAAAATAGATATAATAAAACAATCTCTCTGTATATTAACAACAGTAATTACATCATGTGTCTTATATGAATCTTGAAAATGTTCTACTAACAGTTTTTCTTACAAGGAAAAAAATGTCATCTAATATTGAATCATTTAATATGTTTGCATGAATGCTTAAACCTCAGATAACTATATTCAATAAGAGAGTATTTTTAGTCTGTATATCAATCAACTTTTATGAGAGAACTTATACAGAATATGATTTGAAAGACTCAGAACAATGTCAAAAGTTGAACATGATCGTAAAATTTCATTTTCTGATTTATTGAAAATGTTTTGAAAATAATTAAGATTATATTCGTAATCAGCACCATCGATTCTATATTTTACTTAAAAATTAGACAATCGATTTTTTTTGGGTAAACGATGGGAACGATACAGGTTTAAAAAACCACGTTACCAATCCAAGGTGAATAACTATATATATCCATGTTATAGTCATGAAATTTTATTTCAAATTTTGTTTTTGAGAAGAAAAATTACCTCATTGACTTTTGTCTTTTATTTGTACTTATTTAAAACTAATAAATTCACTAGATATAAATAAAATACATGTAATGTGACATTAAGAATTCAAATTTCAAATACGCCATCATCAATCATCAAGTTGATTTAATATAACACTACTACATCAAGTTTGTAATTACTTTATTTCTCCTTTATCATCATGAAACATAAAGAGAAAATCGTATTGTGAATAGTAATTTGAACGACATAATTAAATTATTTCTAGTATACTCTCAATATTCTGTACTTGAATAAAAAAAAACTCTCTGAATAATATGATTCAATGTAAATGTATCTTTGTTATCTATCAATAGATCATTTTAAACGTCGAAAATAACATTTTAACATGAGTATTCGAAAATTTAAAAATGTGGAGTATGCTTTTTATTTAATAATATAATAGAAACATTGAAATATTACATGATAGAATGAATATTTCAATTTTTGAAAACAGAAAAACACATAGTTTAGCAATGATTATCAATGTAACACTGTACATAACAACAATCCCGGGGGATAATAGTTGATGATTTTAATCAACTAAAATTCACATTTGAAAAGGCTAAATTCATACATTTTCACTTTTAGTGAAGAAGTCATTGAATTATTTCATTCTATTATTACGCATCACTTTAATCTCATTCGATCAAAACTAAAAGATTATTGAATTCATGAAATAAATAATAAATCTAGTATATTTGCATTTTATATATTTGAAAAAGTAAATATTTTTCGTATGTGAAAAATTTCTAGTGGTATTAGAAATTTTGTTTCGAATAAAAAATAATCCATATACAAACAGTATCGTCTAAGTAATTATTTTCTAAAATAAAAAAAAAGCTTCGTTTTTATTAAAAAATCATTCGTTTGTGGCGTGACTTCATAAAATCAAAACACGTATATTTTGAAATAATAAACTTTCTTGAAGCTAATATTCATTTATTACATGTACGTTAAGTTACTCGACATACTCTTCAGAAATCAGCGCTAAAGAACTTTTTCAGAAGCATTATCAAAATACGATGTTGCGTTAGTGACATGATCGAATACAAATATGCAAATGAAAAAAATGTTCTTATAACCGAATGAGTAGTTCAAAAGCGATTTCAAACGGTACAAATCCTTCTTCAAAGTCTCTAGAAAACCAGTTTTTAAAAAGAAGTTTTTTGGCGTTCGACTTTACGACAAAATTTACCGTACATGAGGTTCATGCCCTGAAGTTTGTCTAAAAATTTTCGGATTTTTTTCGTATTGTGAGAGAGATATTCGTTAATTACTGTTTCAATTATAATTAGCTAAAAGAGCTAATCATTTTAGATCTGCAACAGGAGTATATAAATTACTAACATCTATTCTTGATCCATTGAATTAGCCCAAAGCACACTAAATAGGTTGTGATCGTCAATGTGAATGGTCATCCACTTCAGTCATACTAACAACGTCAGGTCGTGACTATTGAACTTGACACAGATTTTTTGATTGACAATAGAAAATTAGAATAGTTTATCGAAACACAAAAGAAAAAATATCGTTTAGAATATATTCATGTGTTGCACACATATTATGATGATTTAGTTGATTTAAAAAAAAAACTGATTTGTTTTTAGTAACTATTGCGTTGTCTTTATTCGGTCGTTTAATTTTTCTTATTTCAACAACAAGAAATTTAGCAAAACGAAACCTGCAGAGTATTCAATAAAAAACAACTTCTTATACATATGCTGCCTTGAAAGAATCTCTCATGTATATATTCAAAAGATGAGAGATATGCAGAACGAATGACAAGAATTTAAAAAAGAAAACAGAAAAAACTATGAAAGTGCCCGTGTGAAACTGTGAGTGAAGCAAAGGTTGTGGTATCCTTACAAACGTTGCAAGCCCTAGACTATACATTTCTGTGTACAGTTCTTTTATTATATTAATGTCAATGAAAAATAAACTTGGTATCTCATTTATAGGAAAACT